GTACCTGCGGACCCTTCCCTTCCGCCCGCTGCTGTGAGGCGCCGTCCCACAGCTCCCTGCCCTGCCGCTGACTTCCTCCTTTTCGCGAAGAGTTCCGAGAAACTCCGTCACATTTCAGTGGCTCTCAAAATTGCGGTCGCTCCTTGACTGCATACGACACATCTTCCTTAGGAGAGAGAGCGGGGTTTCCCCCGGTGGTACCGATAGAAGGCGGCGGGGGGTATGGGGGGACAACACAGACACGTGCATCTTCTGCCCAAAGCCATCGGGAAGCCTTCGCCACTGCTTGCACCGGGCCTGCTGAGAAGCGCAAGTGCTGGGTGCTATGAGGAGATCGACGGCATGGACACCGCATCCTCAAACGGTGGTGTGAGGCGGTGGCGGCAATCTTTAGCAATGCAAAAACTCATGGTTCATCCATTTAACCTGACAAGTGGCCCCACAGCCATCTTCGAAGCTTGTTCCTGGGGCTCCCCACGAAATGTGCATAGGTGCGTTGCCTCCTTCCTTGTACACACTCCTGCTGCTCATCCAACAGGTGAGAAATGGGATGGGTTTTCCTGCAATGGAATGATGTATTCTTTTGTGTCGTGCATCAGCAACTGCAAATGTTTGTTGTGAGTCTTGAACAGAATGGAGCTGAATTAAAAATAGAAAGAAATGTTTCAGGCCTTTTCTTTACTTCCTGCATAGCAGCACCTTACTCAGCTGGAACCATTTCTGCCACCCAGCAAGTTTTTGCAGTGCACATGCAGCACGTGAACCTGCGGGTTACTGCAGAGTGTATTTTTCAAAGACCACTTTGGGGTACTGTCACACCAACATCCAAAACACTCCTACGTAGATGAGATGACCAGTGACAACGTTAGGACTTACCTTTCCTACAGGGAAGTGGTAGCTCTGCTACTTGAACAAAGTTCTACTTCATTCCACAGACCTGAAAGTTTGACTGTCAAAGTTAAAAATGCACAGTGGATGACTTTAATTCTGATTCTTGGACAAGGAGCCTGAAGTCCTTGATTTCAAAGCATCTGGCTCATCCAGAGCCAGTGTAACAATCAAATTATGCATAAACTGCAGAATTTAAAACATACTTTATTACTTAATGGCTTGTAGTTCATATATTACTTGTGTGTTGTTATAATTGTGCAGTTATGCCAACTTCTTTCCAAACCTTTATTGGAAGCCATTGCCATGTTATTCTTCCTGAAGCATGAAGGTCTAAACAAGCCTCAGGCTAAAAAGAAGAGTAGTCCGGATTAGGAAGCCAACTTTTGTTCATGTATATACAAGCGTTTTGCAAAAACATTGAGAAATTATCTTGAGAAAATAGGTATTTTGAAGTAATGGTCATCTACGTAGAAGAAACTGCCCAGGCTGACACCAGTTCTCCAGGTTAGCTTCCAGAATAATTCCAGGACACTTTTAAGTCTATGCGATAATAAATTCCATACAATTTTAGGGTTCTGAAGTACTCAACTGGAAATAGGCAACTGCCTTACCTTAGGCTGTTTACCATACTTGACATTGGAAGGGTAAAACCGCCAAGTTACAGCATGTTGTCATGTGAATATAGTTGAGTTTTGGTCACTGAAAAATGTCCTAGTTGTTTAGGAATTAATCCATTGCTGCAAGCCAAACTGACTAGAGATGCAAGGCACTGGCTGGGGGGAGGAAGGACAGGGTGGCTCCAACTCCTCAGGCTGAGGAGCTGCACAAAAGCTTGTACCAGCACCCAGGAGGGACCCGTCAGGTCTCAGATTATTCTAAGCAGCCAGGGGCAACTTTCTTTGGCAGTGGTGCCGTCTTGAGGTGCTCGCTGACCTCCAGCGTAACATACAGCCCAGCACGCAGAATATCCAGCCACAATAAACCCAGCGAGACTCCAGCAGGAGGGTCCCCAGCAGAAAATTTATCTCAAACTTGGGAGATAACAGGTGATTGAAGGGAGTCTTGCCTCATCAAGGAAAAGTTCCACAACCTGCAGGTCTGAGTGCGGCCCGATGAGAATGCTCAGCCCTACGAGGCTTCATATCAAACTAGTTTTTAATTTGTCTGGTACCTAGTAACCAAGAGGGAGCTCAAAGGACCACTTCCGTGGTATAAAAGCAGAGCCTACCATCGAAACAGTACTGCTTCACTGCCAGACAGCAATCCTCTGGGTTTGAGCGACAAGAAAAAGAACAGGTGCATTTGTTTCTCTGCACAGACTGGCAAAATGCCCTCTTTAAAAAAAAAAAAACACCTCCATTTGCTAGAATTGCATTACCCATTCAGAAAACAGCAGCTGGCAGTACATTTCACACCAGGTCTTCGAAGACTAGTATTACTCTTTTTATGACAACTGCTGTAAGAGAATTTAAATTGAGTACGTGAGCAGTTCTGGCCACCTAGTTACGAACTAGCTCCTAGCAGTTAATGTTTCGGTGACAGCGTAGTCTCCAAACCTCCAATCATAACAAGAACTTTGATTTACTCTATCAGATTAAGAAATCTGATAGAGATTATACCTATTAAGAAATGTTCCTATAGTATTTTTGGACACAGTTTAAGCAAGCCAGGAGTAGTGAACAGACATGGGATGTTTTGAAAGGGAACATTGGTAGAGGTGGGAAAAATTATTATGTTAAGATTTTGTTTTGCAAATAGGTCCACTGAATCACAAGAGTAAGCAGAGGCTTGTTTCTACAATTGGCTCCATGTAGACATATTCCTAGCAGAAGGACACTAGTGCCAACAGGACACAGGAATCAACCACCCAAGTTGGACCAGTTTCAAGACTGAAGCCTTAGCTACTTCTCTGCAGCTTTCCACAGGACAAAGGGGCTGTTGGTGTTTCACTTGTAGTTACTGCAGTAGCAAAAATAGAAGATTGCTGCAAGTCTTCCAATCAGTCTGTTGTTCTGTCAATTGATTTTGAAAGATGAGTATTATTTTGTATTCTACCTTAGAGATGCTGTTGCACTGAAGCAGGCATAGGAAGTCCCTGCAAGACGTAGGCTAAAGACATGGTGCAGATAAGCTCTAAGTCACTCCTTGAACACGTTGCACAATAAAAGTTGTCATAAGGATTATGTGAATTCTTGCGGTAGCCAAATTCCCTCCAATTATCACATTATATCTCATTCTGCATCTACAGTCATGGTGAGATTAAAAAGAAATCTTCACTCTACTGTTCATAAAACAAGTAAATGCGTCTTAAGTACCTTGAAATTGGCCATTCCTACCAAGATGTATTACCACTAAAGCAGCTGTCCTCTCCACTTTTGATTTTGTAAGGCAGCCCCACTGCAACTGGTGGCAGAAGGTACCTCCTGGCCCCTTCAAATGCTGATGAGCCCCTGTTTCTGCAACGGATGGACAGAATCAAGCTAGAGTTAACAGGAGACACTGTTCTATTGCACATCACCACTTTTTCTTTCTCCTTTTGTACTGGTCTTTGTAAACATAGAGCAGTGAGTATAAGCATGGGTGGAGCACCCACCGGCACGCAAAGGAACTCCCTCCCCACTTCCAAGGAAGACCTCTGACAAAAGTGCCCAGCCTACAAGCCCATCCCTGGGCAGTAGTGGCATGCTCTCCACCAGGGAGTGGGAACAAGGACCACACAGGCTGAGCTGATTAGACTCTTCTCTGTACTTGGGCTCCTCCGTCTCCACAGACAAATGAAGAAAAAGCCCCAAATCAAACATGCCAGAGAAGCAGGAATCAACCTGACAGCTGGCAGAGGCACATGAACCCTTCTTTAAACCATTATGGCTTTGAAACAATGGGCAAAGTTCATGTGAGTGGAGAAATAAACAAACAACAACATATTACACAGGCAAGAAGTTGAACCGGGACTGCTTAACCCACAGCCTGTTCTTCAGTCAAACAGGTCCAGCTGACTGCAACCCTTTCTTCCCCACGTGCTCTTCACATGCCCTTGCAAGTGTCCTGTGGCTGCAGGGCCACCTCAGCCAGCAGGTTGCAGCAGAGGAGCCTGCAGGTATCACCCACTGCGCCACCTGCGCATCCTTGCCCCTGTCTGACAGCACAGCCAGAAGTTCGTGCTGCATGTCCAGCGTGGCCTTCAGGCTGTGTTGTGCACATCCTGTGGCCGCGGGCCAACTCAGCCAGCGGGTTGCAGCAGAGGAGCCTGCAGGCATCACCCACTGCGCCACCTGCTCATCCTTGCCCCTGTTTGACAGTGCAGCCAGAAGTTCTCATGTCAACAACCTTTAGGAGTAGAGTTGTTTTCTCGTAAGAAAAAATATAATAGCTCAAAGGACCAGAGATGAGGGACATCTCCACAGAAGGGACCTGCACAGCATACTGTGGGAAAATCCATGCAGGCTCTGTCCAGCTCTGTCCCCTGTCAGAAGGGACAGAAGGTTTACTCACTAGCTATATTCCTCTTTTTAGGCTGTCTTATTAAAATGGCTGTTTTATTGAGCCATTTTCTGTTGGACCTTTCTTGATGAGATGCAGAAAGAGCCCTGCACCATCTCCCTCTCCTGCATTTCACCCCTTCCCAGGGCAGAATACTTAATAATTACAGGATCATTGCATTCAGCAAGAAGCTGCTGATACTGGGGAGTGAGATGGAAAGAGGGAGTGTGGTGGGTTGACCCCAGTCAGCAGCCCACCCAAAAGTGGGAGCAGCTTTGCTGCCCCTCCTCCCTGTTCCTCCCCCCGCAGTGTGGCTTGAACGCACAATCTTCTGGAGGTTCTGAAATGCCGCTGTTGCACCATGAAGCCATGCCACTGCACCCCTTCCCGTGGCTAGGAAGGGCCAAGTATCCAGCACTCTTCTGCCCAGGTGAGACTTGTGCCAGTCTATGCTGGCAGCATCCCTTGGCACCCTCCGGTCCCTCTACGTTATTGTCATTTCAGAAGCCTTTTGCCAGGCACGCTTGGAATACTCACCCACAAGACTCCTGCTGGCAAATGCCTTGTGAAGCACTAAACAGAGTAGGGGTGGGAGGGCCTCCTACAGCAGCTAAGCTGCATAAAATACCTGTCATACTCTTAGTACCTCCCTCTCTGCCGCAAACGTCTCACGGAACAAAGCAAGCAGGCCACTGGCAGGAAAGGTTCCAGTCTTAAAAGCACATTTGCAAAGGATCTTTGCTTCAGATAAGGAAGCGCAAGCTTTTTCTCCCAAAAAAAACAAGCCAAAGAATCAGATTTCCACACTCTTGGGTTTTTATATTATTGTCCTTGCTCACCGATTCAAACCTTGCTAGAGCACATATCATTTATCCTACACCTAATGTTCCCCAGTGTTATTCTGCCTATTTGCCCAAATCCACACATTTTCTGCAACTGTACTGCTCTCCACTAATTCAAGGTGGATTTAAACTGCCTGTAGCAGGAAAGCACTCCAGTTGTCTTCTCTGGGACAAATTATCTCTGAAGCTGCAAGGAAGCACGTTCATAGCTGCAGTTTGTTCATACGAAACTTTAGCCACGGCTCTTTACAGTTTCTGGAAAAGCAAAATGTGTCTTCAAATGAACCGTTGCCTCCTTCACCCAGCTTCCAGCCTCTTCAGCACA